ATTTAAAAAAGTAAAAATAAACCTTAAAAAAGTTACTGCAATCTAAAACTAAAAGCCTTTTAACTCCGTTAAAAAAATATAAAGCTTCTTTAAACTTATAAATTACTACTAATAATTTATTAAAGGATTCTTTAAAATAGCTACCCCATTAACTAATATAATAAAAAAAAGAAAAACCTTTAAGCTAACTAAAGAAATAAAATAAATATTTTAAGCGTTAAAAGATATAGTAACTTTAGCACCTGTTTTAGTAATATATAATCCTAATAAACCTATTATTATTAAAATAAATATATTAGAATATATAATAAAAGGAGTAATAAGTTAACTTAGCAATAATAAAAAACTCCACCCTATAGCCTTTTACTTTAGAAAACTAAATAATACTAAAATATATTACCCTATCTACAATAAAGAATTTCTAAAAATAAAAGACTATATAAATAAATAAAGCCACTACTGTTAAAAAAACAAATATAAAATTAAAATCTACACCGACTATAAAAACATTACATTCTTTACTACTACTTAGAAATTATTATAACGATAATTAAAATACTTTAAATTTCTCTTAGACTATAAATATAAACTAATATACTGTAAAGGAAAAAAAAAACAGATATACTAACACCCTAAGCTAAAGACTTAACTACTTTTAGAAAATACTAGACTATTAAATATAAATCCTTTAAAAAAATACAGAAGGTAATTATAAATAAAAAGAATTATATATAATATACTAAGTTAAAAAATACAATAAAATATTAAAAGAAATTAAAGAATATATTAAAGATTAAGTAAAAAATAAGTTCCCTTTATAAGTTATACTTAAAGAAAGATAACTAATAGTTAAAACTAAGTACTGGGTACCCCTAGACCTACAGAAGAAAGTTATAAAATACATTTATAAATATCTTCAGTTTAGACACTAAAGAATCACAACTATAAACTAATAAATATACACTATCTACTTATTTTAAAAAATAAAAAAAATAGCAGCTAATATTATATTAATATATAATAAATACTAATGAATAAAGTATAAATAATATAAACTATATAAGATACTGCAACCTTTACCGATTCTAAAATTACCCTAGGAAGTTATTATATTTAACTATATTATAGACCTATTACTATTACAAAAACCCTTTATAAAGGTTATTTACAATAGTATTTTTATAGTAGTAAATAAATTTATAAAGTAAGTATACTTTCTGCTGTATAAAAAGTTATATAATGCAGAAGATCTTACATATACCTATATTAAGATAATAGCAGCTAATTACAGTTTATTAAAAGAAATTATTTTAAACAGAGGATAAATATTTACCTTTAAATTCTAATAAAAACTAATAATAAGACTTAAAGTTAACTATAAACTTAGCACTATTTACTACCTACAGACAGATAAATAAATAAAAAAAATAAACTAAATTATTAAATAATACTTATAATATTATATTAATCTTAAATAAAATAATTAAACTAAAAAGTTACCTTTCGCTTAGTTTTATTATAATAATATAAAATCTAAATTTACTAAGCTAATACCGTTTTATACACTTTATAAATATATACCTTTAATATATAGACCCCCTTTTAAAGGATTAAATATTAATAAAACATAAATATAAGTAAAACTTATAGTTAATCTATATAAAGAATTATACACTTAACTTAAACTTATATAAAACTGCATAAAACACTATATAGACTAAAATAAAATTAAAAAACTAACCTTTTAGAAGGGAAATATAGTTTACTTAATTTAACATTTATAAGGCTATAAAATACTAAATATTAAAATAAACCAACTAAACGATAAGTTAAACTTTAGGAAAATTAGATTATTTAAAATTTTAAAGAAAATTAGAGAAATTAACTATAAACTTAAAATACCTAAAAATATAAAACTAAAATACTTAGTGTTTTATATATTATTATTAAAAAAAATATAAATTAATAAAAAAATTAAAAAACTAATTTTAAATGAAATTATAGTATTAAAAGAAGAAAAAAATTAGAATATAAAAAAAGTACTTACTATATACTAAAACCTAAAATATAATAACAGAATTAAATACCTAGTTTAATAGGAAAAATACAGACCCACCTATAATACTTAAGAACCTATTAAAAGCTTTAACTTTTAGGAATTAATAAAATAGTTTTATTAAAACCTTAGATTATATCGCTAAAAACTGCATTTTAATTAATTATATTAACCCCACCGAAAGACTATACATTAATAACTGCCTTTAACTCAGCCCATTCTATTTTATCCAACTTATCTAAAGAACAAACACCCCTATAAAGCATCCGCTCCCCGTAAATATTAATCTACTTACACTACTTTCACAGCTTAACCAATTATATAAACTTTTTATTTATTTATTAAATTAATAATATTACTTATTACTATTATTATAATAGTTCTTATTCTATCTAACGCTCTTTAACGTTTACACACTCCTTTTCAGTAGCTAAATATTACACTGTAAAATTAATATAAAAAAACACTAATAAAAAAAAAAAATAAAAAATCATTTACTATTAGCTAATAAAATTCCATTTCTATTGTAAATATAACTATAATATATATACTCCTTATACCTTTTATACCTAAGCGCTATTTTATAAAGCAATTTATTAATTTTACAATATAAATAAAATATAACAAAAAATCTAATAGTTTTAATTACAAACACCGCTACTTTACGATTTTTTAAAGATTTTTTAATAACAAAAGACTATTAATTTTACTTAATAACACCGTAAAGTATTATTAAAAATAAAAAAGGAGATTTACTTAAAAACTAACACAGAGGCTTAATATACTATATATAGGTCTTAAAGGTAAAATTAATAAAAGAGGGATATTATATTACGACCTAAACAAAAGTATATACCCTTTAAGTAAAATACAGAAGGAATAATTAATTAAAATCAGAGATTCTAAAGCTTACTTTAATATATATAACTTAAAAAGTAAGCCTTAACACTAAAGTTACAGACTTACCTAATATAAAGGGATATTATAATATAAGCTTAAAAAAACAACTGAATATATAAGTTTATTTTATTATAATTATTCAGATAGTTTAAATAACCAGTCGTTAATAAAGTATTAAAACTAAATATAAATTATACTTTTTATTTTACTCTTATATATTTATAATTACAACTGCTTAAAAGCTACTCTCTGTCCTCTCTGCCAATATAAACCTATAACCTAGGTTTATTACCTTAGGAACCCTTACCCTATACTAGGAATAGGGATTAGGACATCACAATAATTAAATAATTAATTATTAATAAAATATTAAAATTAAATATAAGTTTACTATTTTAAAAAATCCCTTATATTTATTTAAGCATTTACTTTAAATTAAAACGGGCGTAACCTTTACTTTATACTACATTTACATTTTTTATTACTTTATAAAACTACCTTAGGCTTAATTTAGTTTTTTATTACCCTGCGTACACTACCTTTAGCCTAACCCTAAGCCCGCCTTCTAGGTACGAGACGTTATATAAACCTAAAAGCTAATAAGCAAATGCTATCTAATAGTTCTTAGTCCCTAATCCCTGTAAATAAAATCAAACCAACCCCGCCCCCACTAACTGGGGGGTCTAAGCCAATAGGCAAATACTATATAAGCTCTCCTGGGTTTGACTTCCTTTACCCATAGTCACCTAGGGCCAGAATTGGTCAATTGATGGTGTGGTTGTGGGAGAAGCAGTGTGGATTGAAGTGCCGGAATGGGGGGGGTGTGGCGCCAAGTGGGTCACGGACTCTATATTCCAGATCTAATAGGTCTTTACAGCTCCCAAGTCCTCCTTACCCTTAATCAACCTTCCCATACTGCAGCCTCTTTTAATTAGGCCTCTTATATCAAAGTCTCTTCGTAGAAGGTTTTCTTGGCCTGTTAATATGTGTACAGGCGTAGGTTCTGGCTGGGGCTCAGGTCTGGGCTCTGGGCCGAAAGGGGGTAGGGTTAGGGTTAGGACCGAGGTCCGCTCGAGGCCCTTCGGGCTGCAGCCCGTGACACCTACACTACCTAGATGAAAACGCCTACGACCCCTATATTTAGAGTAGAGTATATTTCAGCCTACCTAAATAAACGCCTGCGCCCCTTGCAAGACTTTCGCATACTGGGTAGGGCAGCAGCCGCGAAAAGTCCAGCAACTAAAGAGAATCTTGCCTGTAATTATAATGCAACTCCAGGCCAGAGAGACCGTAACTCCCTAGCCCTTTAACGAGCAAACACAAGGAAAGGCAGAGCTTAGCAAACCGTTGTCAATTGAGAGGAGAAGCAATGCTAGGACGTCAATTGTTAATCCATAAACCATCGCTATTGTTGAGGCTCGACTACGGGGCAAGACTTTGTGCTGCTTGCTTAAGCTACCGCATTGATGGACGGCGCAGCCATCCAGAGCTGGTCCTGCTTGTCGATATACATCTTTGGCATTGAGCCGTCCAGTGGACTCGTGCCACCGCCGGGCCTATTGTCCCAGAACAGGCTCGTTGCCCAGAAGTCGAGCAGATCCTGTGCTTCGGGGCGCGGGAGCTGCCAAGCGCGGGCAGCCTCTTCGTAGTGTCCCGCCGACGTGCCCATTTTGGCCGGGGTGAATGCAGCATTGGCCACCTCCAGTTTCGGGAAGAAGCGCGGATCGGCCAGGTCCAGGGCGTCCTCTTTCTGCTGCTCACCCGCCTTTATCGGAGCCAGGCCGTCAGCGGAGATTCGCGGCGGCGGCGGGGTCAGAGCAAGGTCTGTTGTCAGGTTGACCGAGACGGGGCCTCCGTCGTTGAGGGCCGAGGAGTTGCCACCAGCGGCTGGGTCTTTCCAGGCCTCGTCTGAAAATCAAAGGGAATTATCAGCATAAGGGAGAAAGAAAAAGTGGATGTTGGGGGTAGAAAGCATGCAACGACGAGTTTGGAGACTTACACTTGTCCCAAAATCCTTTTGGTAGAGCCTTGGTTGCTGGCACCACGTTCCAGCCGATCTTATCATATCCGGGGTCGAGAGTTCCATTCTGTCCGCGGAATTCCTTCTTGAAGATCCGGACGTGAATTTCGGATGAGACTGTCTCCGCGCTGCGTTTCATCGGCTTCGCATATAGGGGTGTCTCGTTGGAGACGGGCACGGAACGGTCGTCGACGAGGACGGAGCTGACGGGGAACGTACTGCCGATTGAGAAGACGAACAGCCCACCACGCACTGTCCATGGCTTCTGTTTTTTCTTGTCGTCGTTGGTCGGATCGGAAGACGGCGCCTTGGCCGGGGCGAGCAATCCCGCTGTCGCATTGAAAGAGACCGTGGCGGGCCGGTCCTGTGCGTTTTTCCCGGTAATGCCAAGGACGAGCTCGTAGAACTGCTGGAGAGACTTTGGGTACTCGGGGATCCGGCTGGTGTCGCCGTACTCTATGTCAAAGGTAAAGACCCAGAACTCGACGCGGGCCCGACAGCCGAAGGGCCGCGCCTCGATGTGGAACTGGGCTCCCAACTGGGCGCTGACGTTTGTCGAGACCCAGAAGGCCTCGATGGTATAGTTAACGCCGACGGTGATGCCTCCTGTAAAGGAAAACCGCTCCGTTTCGAGATTGGCGAGGAGATCGAGCCATGCGGTGAACCAGGCTGAAAGATTGCCGGCGCGAAACGTGAGAGCCACCATGACGCCCATCATGACGGCCTTTGGCGTCCGGGCAAAGTACAGCTCGCCGCGCATGGAGATGGCGTCGCTGACCCGCCACTCGAGAGCCAGGCGGTCGACAGAAGGATAGTGTCCAGGGACAGAAAAGGACTTGTGGTACCCGCCAATGGTCATGACATAGTCGCCTTGGGTGCGCGCCGCAGCCTCGGGGGTGGCACCGTTGCCGGATACGGGCCACCAGAAGCACACGGCGAGACCACCGCGCAGATGGCAGTTCTCGTGCAAGATGTACGACTCGGGGGACAGGGCGCCCTCGAGCTTGAAACTGCCGGCGTTGGGGTGCAGGGTGGCAATGAAGCCAAACTCGATTCGGGCCATCTTGACGGGGCACTGCACCGACGGCAGCTCGCAGACGGCCACGCCGACGATGGTGAAGCGGAACTCGGGCGAGAACTGGACAATGACGGCAGTATCGATGGACAGGACGAGCGCGAAGTCGAGCTTGGCTCCGAACGCCAGAAACATCTCATTTTCGAGCGGCTTGATCCAGCCACCCCTCTCCGGCGAGCAAAGATCGCGGAGTTGATTCGTTGGCGATACTGCCGCCCGATGCATGGCCACCAGGGGAAAGTCCTTAACCTCGTCCACGCGCGGCAGGCGGAGCTGCAGATTGTACCCGAAAGCGACCATCAGCCCCGTGAGGGCCACGCCGGTGAACTGGATACGCCCCTCCCACTTGAGAAAGAAGAATACGGTTGAAGACGTGCTGTTCTTTTTTGGGTCGAGAATGAGGGTTTTCGCTCTAGTGGGCTCCTCTCCCGCAACTGTTGCCGGTTTCATGTAGAACTGGATTTTGTACTCGCTGTGCTCGCGAGACTGGTACAAGAGCGCTGCCGTGAACCGGAACTTGGTCACCCCGAATATCAGGCCTCCCGCAATAGTCCGGGCGGAATTCTTGTGGACTACGTCGTCGTGGTTGGCCGAGTTGAACATGGCAAGCCCAGCGACCCCGGGTAGGTCGTTTTCGTTGTAGTTTGCCGGGAAGTTGCGCATCCCACCGAAGACGTCGCGGACCTCGAGGTTGCCCTGTCCTGGCCGCAGAACAAAGGTTGTCTCCTCCGTGAAGAAGCCGGCACCAGCAAATGTTAGCGGGGGCTTGTTGTATGCTATCACGAGGCCCTTGAGCCCTCCCCGGACTTGCGAAACCTTGATCTTGTCGAGAAGGGGGTCATCCTCCTTGACTTTCTCGCGGTCAAAGGTCACGGCTATCCACAAGCCAGTGACCGAGGCGTGGAGGACGCCCAAGATGACCTTGGCGTCGAGATAGAGCGTCAGTGTGTTGTCTTCGTACGTAATTCCAACGTTGGATATCAGAAAATATTCCGTGTCTTTCTTGAAAGGCATGACTTGCATCGGAGGCTTAGGCGTCTTGCTTGGTGGGTGTATGGCGTCTCGCCTCTTCCGATTCTTGAGCTCCGAGTCGGATACATCATCGGGGTTAAAAACGTCACTTTTGTCCGCCTGATGAGACTGGCTCTGAGCTTTGGTTGAGGACGGCGCCTGACCGCTTGATCCAGGTTTTTGTTGGTCGGTCTTAGTGCTTGCCGTAGTGGGAGCGGTAGTGACCGGCGCTGTGGTTGCCGGAGCGGTAGTAGCCGGCCTTGTCGTTGTCGGGGCAGTAGTGGTAGCCGGTGTTGGAGTAGCCAGGACTGGAGCTGAAGTGACCGGGATGCCTTTGGCCTTATCGACCTTTACAAGCCGCCTCGGGCCAGGGTCGGAGCCCTCGTCGTCTTCATCTCGTGCCCTTGGTGGCGGGCGAAGCCTGTTTCTTCCGGTTTTTGGCGACTGTTTCCCGCGCTTTGGAGCTGCTGCAGGTTCATCATCGTCCGACGGTGGCTCGGGCACGTCCAGGTCGCCGGCATGTGCTGGCGGCTGCTTTGTCGAGTCACCGTCCAGCTTGGGCCCAAACAGGTTGTCCTTTCCGCCACTGTCTTTAGCCCTGTCATCTTGTGGCTTCTTATCCACGCTTGCCCCGTCATCCTTCGGTCTGATTACATTGGCAGCTACCTTGGGCGTGGCGAAAGGATAATCAAATGCGACGCGAGATTTGTTGTTCTCATCCACGCCCATGATGAAGATATGCCCTCCCGCCACGATGGCTGCGTCCTTGTCCGTCATATCCCTCTCGTTCTTGAACCTCTGGTAGTCGAGCCTCTTCATCTTGAGTTGCGCGAGTGCCGTGTTAGCAAGCGCCAGATCCGCCACTGTGAGGCCCACCATCTTGGTCACGTCGGTGGTGAACGGCTTAGGCGGAACGTCGATGACGTAGGCAATGAACAACTCGTCAATCGGCACTTTGAGCTTGCCCATGGGCTGCAAGTCTAGCTCTGGGATCTTGGGCAATGCTGCCTTCAGCACGCATTTTGTGTGGGCCTTTGGCCCCGAGGTTGGATCCAACATGACGATGAAGGTCATCTCAACGCCGTTCACCATGAGGGAGGCCACAATGCATAATATTGGCGCTTTCGTTGCGGCGTCTCTCACGCTCCGTACCGAAACTTTGATATCGCCGATCTTGACGTGAAGCAGAAACGCCGGTAGGCCGAGCGTAAGACCCAGGACTACCGGGCCGACGAACACAGCGAGGACTTCCTTGAGCGTCGGGGTGTTGCGGGCTTCCTTGTTACCCGGAGTCGATATGGCAATCTCCCAGTCGACTGTCTCTGGCATTGGCTCGGGCTTGGCGGGGCCACTGCGGAACGGATTGACGGCCATCGTGGCCTGGCCTCCTGGCGGCGGCCCACAAGTGTACACCAGATCGAACTGACCGGACCCAATGTTGATGCCGCCGACCATCTGGAAGCCCTTGCTGACGCTGTCGACATTTTCAAAAGCCAGAACGAGATAGCTCACGTGGACGAAACGGAGAAGCACAGTCAGGGCTTCACTCGTCTCCCTGGCGAAGAGGGCATAGAGGTAAGCGAGGTCAAAGCTCTTGACTACCGCTCCCAGGAGCCATCTCTTCTTGCGTCCGTCGTACACGACGGAACCCCTGATCCGGCCAGGTTTGTCGTCTTTCTTGAGAACATCTTTCCGCAGCAGCCCGACATCAATGTCCAACCGGGCCAAGATAAACTGGGCACCACTCTTCCAAGAATGTATCACACGCACGCCGAGCTTGCCCAAATAAACCTGGGGTGTTGTGTCCTCCTTTGGTGTCGGCGGCGAACCGCATATAGCCCCACCGAAAGCCCAGCCCGTGCTCCGGATTTCAATTGTCGCCTCGGTTATTCGTGAGGGCAGCTTTAGCGGCAGGGTTGAAGGCGCAACAAGTGCTCTTAAGTCGACATAGGAGCCCTGATGGTCTCTGTTGAGGGGCACAAGCTCTAGATCTTCTTCCCAATCAGGGAGCAGCTTGCGAATATCCGATTCCTTGCCAAGGGGTGGTTCTATCGCCGTATGATTTAGCTCAGTGGCAACTTCAAAGCACTTAAGCAAGCTGGGTAATAATTAACTTACTGAGCCAAAGCGCGCCGCGAAGACTGCTGCCTTCCACCCTGCTCCAAGCGTAGGTAAAGAGGAATAGGATGCTATTATTGTCATTCAAAGTGCCAACCTTAGCTAGCAGCTCAATGTCCACTGACACGGCCGAAACCTCTCCAAGACTGCCGTCCGCTGCCAGGGGCAGAGTAATGGATATTCTGCGGGGCTCCGGCGTCTTGGATAGAATCACCTTGGCCGTCTCGCTTTCGAGGAGGGCAGCAAGATCCAGCTGGCCGACCTGCGTTGCGAGCCACGACAGGAGTTGGGCGAGGAGATTGCCTTGCTTAAACGTGATGTCCACTTTGATGAAACCCTGCTGGACACTCAGAACAACAGAAGCGGGCACGTTCAGGCCCAGCGAGGGCATGGTACAGTCCAGATGGATGCTACTCTGCTCCTCGACGATGGCACTGTGGCCCCCCCCCGTGACTGTCCAAGTGCTGATGTGCTTGGAGACGACCTTCACACCCGTGACGCTAATGCCGGGAATTCGAGCGCCGAGGAACTTTGTCATGATTGCAGCGCTCTGCGAATTACCAGTATACTGGAGCCGCTCGACGGTCCGGTAACTCCGCTCCGGGTCGAAGAAGATGGCGTTTCTGCTGCCGGGACGCACGTCGATGGACAGTGGCATGGCCAGTAACTCGAGAATTTCCGGATTCTGGGCTTGGTCGGGCATCACGGGCAGAGGCACCACATCGGACATGCGCACGGGGAGAGCATCGCAGCCGGGGTCAAGGCCAAGGACGAGAAGGTTCTGGGGGGAGACCAAGCCGCCCATCTCCTCGCTGAGACCCCTCAGCGGGTCCTGGCCGAAATTATGAGCGAGATGCTTCGTTCCGAACTTCATTTCACCTCCGAAAGAAAGCTTTTGGGTCAGTTCCACCTCGGCAATCTTGTTTTTAGCGCTCGACGCGAGCTGCAGCTTCCGGGCCCCGACGGACGCGGCGAACCAGCCGTAGAGCTCGTCGGCCTTGTCAAGCTCAAAAAACTTTGGCGTTTCGCCAGCAGCAGGGACGACGGGCTTCGAGGCCAGATCTAGCCGGGCATTGTGCAGCGAGCCGACGAATGAGTCGGCATCACCGGGCGCCAAGACCGAGGGCTTGCCCACCGCGCCGCCTTCTACGTCGAGGAACGTCGACGCGATGCAGAGCTCGTTTGCAATGGCCGACGTGGTGGTGGCGTCGAGCTTCTTAACTTGGCGCGATACCCCAAGCCGGGCCTGCATTGTGGGATCTGGATGCACCCACAACGGCTTGCGAGGCGTGGTCAGGCGAGGATTCGCCTCGGCAAGGACCTCGAGGGCGTCGGCCGGAGGCTCGAGAAGTGTTTCCAAATTGTAGAGGCCATTGAGCGTTACGACACTGTGACTGTCAAAGCGGCCCTGACCCAGAGCCTCTCTACGCTCTTCACTCCACGTGGGAAAGTGGTTGATCATGGTCTGTGGAGGGGAGGGCGAGGCGGCCGGGGCCGGGGGGACTGGATTGTTTGACGCCGATTCAGTGGTCTCCGGGTGTTGTTGTGCCCGGGATGTGTCCAGCGTGGACGGTGTCCGAGACTCGGACAAGGCGGCGATCTTGCGACTTTTTTGATGGTTTTGCAAGTCGGCCTGTCCAAGATACTTGACCTTGACCACGCCGTCCACTTGCCCCCGAGCGGCATCGCGTGACTCGACGCAGATGTACTCGATCGCTCCCTTGACGCCCACTGGATCTAGGAAGGATCCGTGAACAGCAGCACCTACAGCAGGATGAGACTGCGACGTGATGGGGGATATCTGAGCCCAGCGACGCTCGCATTGATCGGTGATCCAGTCTCTCGACGCTTTCTCTGAGGGTTGTTGTCGCTTGGTCTCGTCGCCGCCCCACATGCAGTACTGGTCATAGATATTGACGAGGCCCGGCTGTCCCAGTCGCGCCTGGCGTTGGTTGATGCGGTCATAGAATTCCGAGAGCATCGCGAGGAACTGGTCGTTCTTTTCGGGGCGGACAAAGGCGTCATACGAGAGCTGCCCGGTTCCCGAGAAGTCTGCATAGCTGCTTCTGCTGCCTGCTGTGTCCGGCTGCCTCACGAAGTAGTATGGGTATTGCGTGGCGTAAACGGTTCCGGATAGAGCAACATCGGACTGCTGGGACAAGAGAAGAGTGTGGAGCAAGAGAATGAGCTCCCATCGAGGATTTCCATACTTGCTCCCCGTGAACATGACCAAGCTCTGGGGAGCCAAGCTGTCGACGGCATCCGCAATGGTGACGGGCTTTCCGCTGCGGCTGCCCACCTTCATCGTCGTCACGCTGATCCCCTCGACATGAGTGGCTGGAGGGTCTGCCGTGATCCAGTCGAGCAGCTCCGACTGGATAGCGTCATCGGCGACGCTGCCGCCAAAGTACGATACGCACGCCGGCTTGCTGTCCCACATGATGGCAAACGCGAGCGAAGACTCAGCTTTCGCGATACGCCCTCGAGACGTCATGACTGTCTTGTCTGCCGCGATGCAGTACAAGGCCGGCATGTCTCTGCCTGGCGGATTCCTAGCCAGTAAATCATAAGGAGAGCTCGCTGGCGAATTGAAAAAGTTGACTGGCGGGCCCGACGCCGTGAACAAATCGCGACCAAGCAGCAACTCAGGGCTATAAACAAAATTGCAGAAGCCACTGATATGGATCGGCTGATCCGCTCCTGGTCTGAGGAACTCAAATATCAACCTGTTGGTCCCATCTCCTAGCAGCTTGAGCTCTGGTACATGCGATGGAGGCGCACACGGCGCGTATAGCACGGAGACCGGATTCCCCTGCGCATCGTACTTGAGCCAGCTGGCGCGAAAATTGTCGAGTCGCTGGCCCGGTTGAACATTGTCGTCGACTTCGGCGCCGAGCAGCTCAAAGAGACCACCATAGTAATCCGGATCCCAGACGGAGAGGACCACGGCGTCGAATTGCAGCACCGGGCAGCCGTAACGTGCGGCAATGGACGCGAGACTGCTTGCTAGGACGCCGCGGCCGAAGCGAGACGCGCCCGGCGAGCCCGTGTCGATGAGAATAGCCTTTTCGATGGACTTTGCGTCTGTGGTCGGCTGCACCTTGACCAGGAGATGGACGGTACACTCGCCGTCGCCAACGTTGATGTGGAGCGAGTCAACTCCATAGGATTCCCCCATGATCCCGGTGGTTATGAATTCTTCGCGGCAAGCAGCATCAAGTGTCAAGCTTTGGTGATGGCATGAGTGAGCAGAATAGTAGCTGGTGTGGGAAAAGAACACGGCAGCCGAGTAAACGTTATGGTGGCCAGTCTTTTCGGTATGCTGACTTCATTTACACACCCAGTCTGCTCTCAGGAAGTTCACGTAGTACAAACTTTGGGCTCACCCCCGGGGTTGCGCCCCAATCCTGCCTCAACCCCCCGGGGTGGCTGTAGACTCCATGGCCGGGGACCCGGGCGTTGTTCAGCTGATATATGGAGGAGACTATTGACGCGGACCGCTCTCCACCGGGGAAGGAGACTATTGATGTCGACCGCTCTCCACCGGGGGAGACTATTGATGCCGCTCTCCACCAATTCACAAGCATGGGGATTCGCTAGCCCCTCGGCAAACATCCCCACGCGCCACCACGCCGGATGCAGGGGCCTGGATTCAGCTAAGGATCGCAAGTTCTACGTACTCCGTGTTGTAGCGCCATGACCTTGCTTGGCCATGACCTTGCTTGGCCAAGTCGTCACATCATGAAAGACCAATTGCGCCGTCACGGCTCCCACGCCATCGGCCAGCACTGTGTTTAGTGATTGACTCGGGAAATCGGTCAGTCGGTGAGTGGTTCGGTCTACCTACCAATTCATTGTCTCTGACTCCGAGTTCTCACCATCTCGACCGTGCCAGGGCCTGAAAGTTCGCCAGTTCGAGCGTCTTCGACTTTGTCGGCCAACCTTTGCTATACCTGGCGAGACTGCACCGCCATCCCTCAGCATGTCGCAACCCGATATAGTGGCTCCGCCAGGTGCCCGGCATGCGGTGCTTCAAGCCTTGGGGCGAACGTCGGCACAGGGAGCATCTCTCATGGGCGTTGCTGTCAAGGACGGAACCGCAACCCAAGCCCAGCCACAGTTGACGACGGGTGAGCAGCAGGTCTTTTCCTATTTCCGACCTGCGCTCGAAGGCGGCGACTACATTGTGGCGACTACGCAGACCATCAGTGCCAGAGACAGCCCGAGCATTGTGACCAAGGAGGAGCAAGAATTCACCGTCGCCACGCCGCGCTTCAGCATCGCCCCGAACACCATCAAATCCGTCTACCCGCCAGCGGGATACCCCGTCGCCGTCGAAACGCTGCCGCATATTGTTTTCAGCGACCCGTATCTGCCCTGGGAGCGACTGGCAACCTCAGCCAGGCAGACGGCCACTCGCAGGGTTCCTTGGTTGGCCTTGCTGGCCTTCTCAGAGGACGAGCTCACCTTGGCGCCGGGGGATCTAACGGGAGACACCAGCCTCTTCAAGGATATTCCCTCGGACAAGCCATGGGAACAGAATGCGGACCTTTCCGTAGCGGTGCCGCACGCGAGCGCTTCCAAGCTAGCCGGCTGCTTGACGCCCATCTCCAGTGCAGACGCCGCTGAGGTGGATGGCGACAAGGTCAATGCCATCTTCGTCCGACCCAGTCTCTTCAACGAACTCTTCCGCGATACATCGGCGTCGTCGGCTGGCGGCAGCCAGAAGCGGCCGGACGTGTCCAGATACGGCTACCTTGCGCACGTTCGCCGCATCGACACCACGGGCATGGCGGAGTCTGGCGGCACCGAGGACGCTCATTTCAGCCTGGTCCTCTCTCACCGTGTCGGGCCCATGGCCAGCGACGGACAGGCGGCCACAGTGCACGTGCACCTCGTCTCAATCGAGGGCATCGAGGCCATGGCCTGGCCTGTCTCGTCTTCGACTCGCTTCGTGGCACTTGCATCCCTCCACAGCTGGTCTTACATGAGCGCCCGCCATGGCGTATTTGACGCCAAGAAAACCATGCGCAAGCTTGCAGAGACTCTGGGACCTCTTAGGCCACCACTGCCCGCACAAGAGACGCTCAAGGTGGACCCCGCGCGGCAGGTCATCATCGACAGGCTTCGGGACGGCTACACACCAGTCGCATACCGAATGCAGACCGGAGAGAAAACTGCAGCACTGTACCGAGGCGTTCTGACACCGACTCTGGTGCCGCACCCCATCTCGCCGGGATGGAGCCTGATGTCGGAGAGCGGCATGGACCTGCAGATCCTGGACAACAAGCTTGGCATCCTCGACATCACGTACTCGACAGCGTGGCAACTGGGCAAGAGCACCGCCATGGCCGACCTCGCCTTCTGTCGCTCCCTGACCAAGCTGCGGACAAAGATCCACGTCATGGCCATGAACAGGGCCAAGGCCAAGATGATGCGTGCCTTGGGCGCGTATCAGAACCGCGCCGATGCCGTCAAGGCGGCGCCGGTCATTCTCCAGGAGCTCGGCAAGCTCCAAGAAATCGAGACAGACGGCCTCGTGCCATCGCAGAGTCCAGATATGCTTGATCGATGGAAGGCCGATGCGAAGAAGACGGTCGATCTGTCCCTCGACAACCGCGCTCTGGCCGCGCAGTACGACGAGCAGGCCAAGCTTGCGGCCGAAGAACTTGGTAGTGGCTTCGACGCAGGCGAGGTCGCGGGCGAAGGCCAGGCCATCTACAACGAGCTGAACGAGGCGTCCAGCCCCGAGTGGGCCGTTGTGCTTGGCTGGATCCTAGACAAGATGTACCTCTCTACGATTCCGACCCAGTACCTGGTAACGGACCCGTCGCATCTGCCTGCAGAGAGCTTGCGCTTCTTCCACCTCGATCCCAACTGGCTCGATGCGTTTCTAGACGGCGCCCTCAGCGTGGGAAACCACCTCGAGAACCGCTTCGACAGCGCGCGCACCGCCATCAAGCATCTCATCAACAGGTACCTGCGCAGTCCACTGCCCGCCACCGGCCAGCCACCTCCCGTACCAACGTATGGGTTCATACTGCGCTCCGACCTCATCAGCCACTACCCAGATTTGCGCGTCGAGGTGGAGTACGATCCGCCCAGGGCTAACTCGGCAATGCCCTCCATCCTGCGACAGGCTAACGTTGCCGACGGAGTTCTCATGTGCCTACTGGATGCTTCCCCACACGGAACTCAGCCGAATTCACGCCTCAAGAGCCTCAAGTTTACGCAGCCGCCTCACCAGCAGTCGTTTGCGGTGGGTGCTCAGCTGGACGACGAGGAGCTGCACACCTCGTACCGGAGAATCTACACTACGTACGACGGGCACTCTGACAAGTCGGATCCCCTGTGCAACGACGAGGTTCTCAAGAAAGATTCGGTGGCGACGGACGTGCAGCCCATCTTCTGCTGGGGAAAAGACAACTCTGTGCGATGCCTGCAGTTTCCGGCCTTCTCCGACAGGCTTCTCCGCAATCTACAGCAGCACATGCCCAGGGACAGCATCGTCACGTTCAGCGCTGACGCCGCGACTTCGGCCATGGTGGGGTTGCAGCTGACAAAACGCATCTGCGAGCTCGAAATCACCGCCGGGCCCGCCACTGACCCTCAGACGCTGCCAATGCTCCTGGCCAGAGCTTCAGAGCCGGGCGCAAGAGCCCTCTGGATACGGCCGGAACGCGAAAGCGGCGCCATGTCCAAGTCCATGGTGGCAAATTCCTGGTCTCTTCCGATTCCCAATCCACCCGTGGCACCCCTGCCGTCTCTGGAAGAGAGACGTCGCATACGGCGAGAAGCCGATGCCGTCTGGTCTGGCGTCGCACCGCACGCGTCGGGTACACAGGTGCTTTCGCCGGAGCTCGAGGACATCATCACCACCGCCTTTCAGGTCGTCTTCAACCCGGGCGGTTTTCTACTGGACAGGGTGCTGGATTTTTTCACACCCACCATCGAGCGCCCTCGCTACGATTTGCAGGTCTTCCCGGTCGGCAAGCGATTCGACCCGGAGAAGGACGCCCGCTCCATTCCCACCGGCCGACGTCAAGATCTCGTATTCTCCGTTTCTCTGGCCAACCCCGACACCGCCACGCCCGGCGACACGCTCCTCGACGAGATCCGCATCATGATTCCCATGGGCGACCCCACTGCCGACAGCGACAAGACGTGTCTGATGAGCAACTACCGCGGGCCCGGGGCTACAATGGTGAGCAACCTGCGCTTCAACGTCATCACGGCTGTTGCCCACGACTACAGCTACATGCTCCTGCGGCTGATTCCGCGGACGGCCCGGAACGATGGCTGTATTGGATTCGAGCACGCGCTCGAGGCAAGCTTCGTGTTGAACCTGGTGGATGTGAACGAGTACCCGGGAGGCCAAGAGAGGACGGTGGAAATTTCCTTGGTGGAACATCTTAAGGATGTCATGCGCGAGCATATACCACTGGTGCCGCGAACGTACCAAGCGACGCTCAAAACGCCGCCCCTAGATCAGGGCATTGTGCCAAGATAGAGCCTTTAGTTTTCTTATACGTAAATCCACACCTTATAATAATTGTTTCTGGCGGTTAGTAAATGGCCTTTAAATTTATATGTGAGATTTTTGGTGCTAGCAGGATATAAGGTAGCTGGCGTTTAGATAAGGGTAGTAGTTAGTAAATACTTTATATTTAAGTTAAGGATAAAGATATTATAGGTTAAGAGTAAAGTAAACCTTTAATTGTTTATTTTATTTTCAGTTATATAAGTTATTAATAATAATAGTAAATAGCAGTTATTTTTTATTAATGTTTACTATTATAATATAATTTTTATAATATTATTTATTAAACTTTTTATATTATGAAGTATTTTTTTTATTAACTAAAATATTATATTTTAACTTATTATATATATAAAACATTTATTACTAAATATTAAATTAAAATATATTTTTATATATTATTATATTACTTTATAAATTAATAAATTAAATATATTAGACAGTAAGTATTAAAGCTAAATATTATTTAAAACTAAAATAAATTTAATATTTTACTTATTTTACTAAATAATATTTATATTTATAATAATTATTTTTAACTATTAATAATAATATATAAATTTATATATAAAATTTTTTAACGTTAGTAAAATATAAAGCAGTTAATATTTAAATAAAAGTAATAGTTAATAAATATTTTATATTTAAATTAAAATTAAAAATAAAAATATTATAAATTAATAATAAAATAAACTTTTATAATAATTATTTTTAAAAATTAATAAATAATATTTAAATTTATAAATAAAAATTTTTTAATATTAATAAAATATAAATTAATTAATATTTAAATAAAAATAATAATTAATAAATATTTTATATTTAAATTAAAAATAAAAATATTATAAATTAATAATAAAGTAAACCTTAAGTATTATAATTTAATATTTTATAATTATAATAAAAAATATATATTTTAAAAAAAAATAATTTAAATAATTTATTAAAATAAAATTAAAATAAATTAATTATTAACTAAAAGTAATTTAGTATAAATAAATAAAAATTAATTATTAACTTTAATTAATTAAAATATATTTAATTAAATATATAATATTTACTTTTTTATATTTATTTAAAATAATTAAATAATTAATTATAAATTATAATATTTAAATTAAATTTACTTAATATTTTTTATAAATTAATAATATAATTATTTGTATTATTTAAATATTTAATTTAATTTATTAATTAATATAAATTAAAATTTAAATTTAATTTTTAAAAATTTTAATTTATATTAATTTATAAAATTTATAATTTATTATATATTTATACTTTTTTTTAAATAATTACTTTAAATTTTTAAATAATATTTAATAAAAAAAATTAAATATTAATTTATAATATTTTAAATATTAAAATAAATTAAAAAACTAAAATTTAAAATAAATATTTAAAAAATAATATTAAATTTTAAAATTAATTTAATAAAAATAATAAAAATTTTATATTTATAAAATTAATTATTATTTAATTTA